TCCGAATCCTATCACAAGTTCTGGAAGGCCTTGAACGAGGTGAAGGCTCGGTTGAAAGGCAAGGAGATGCGGGAGATCCATGGGATAATGGCTAAGAAGAAGATACCGACGAATGTCCGCATCTTCACAGTCGCCCTTGTTATTGGTCCTGCAGCAGAGTGGGACTGGAGTGACTTCCCAGCTTCGTTCAACAAAGCCGATCGAATTGATCTGAGGGAGGTCAATTTACCCGTGCCTGAGGAACTGAAGACGGCTATGGAGCTTTCGAATCCAAAGAAAGCTCCAGGTGCAGCATGGGAAATGCTCAGCTGGGTCTTCAACGCAATAGCGGGTGACTCCAAGGGCAAATGCGTTGTCGAGTACAACTGCGGCGGACTATTCTTTCGAGCCGCACTACTCAAGGGTGTCCCGTGTGTTGCGGTGACAAACTCCATTGAAGAGGTGACTTCAATGGAGCATATAATTACAGTTGCCAAAGAAAAACAGTATCTTCTCTACGAACCTGGTGAGTACGCACTTTAAGTTTAAATGTTATCTCACAAGCTCTGTATGCAGGAGCGTGGCCACCCCCAGATGCTGAAACGGCGTTAACAGCTACTGATGTTAGGCCGAGGTCACAACCTGCACAAGGTAAGGTCACGTGAGGCCTCACGCCATTTTGATTATAGATCGTTGTGAATATTCAGACACGAGGACTGAAAAGCGCACTGGTGGCACGTCGAAGAAGGACAAACAGACAAGCAATAGGAAAAAAGGAGGTACAAATTATATTTGCAATGGCGTGTGGTCTCATGCCATTCCTTGCAGGAGACACTTCTTCAAAGGCAAAACAGGCAAGCACCAGCCAAGCTCAAACTGACAGTGGTCATAAAAAGCGAAAGCACGTTGGACAGTCGTCGGGATCAGAGGCGTTTGATTCGAAAAGGAAGAAGGGCAACGAAAAGATGATAGGTAATGCCTCGCGGTTATGGCGTGTGTGCTCATGCCATTCATTGCAGATCAAGGGCTGAGTGAAAGGAGCCAGTCACCACCTTCTGACTCAGATTCCTATGGCAGACTCCCCTTCCCCAATCTCAATGGAGAGGTACAATGGATGAGGGATGCTTTTCAAGTCAGGGCCACGTTTTTCTCATCTCGTCGTCTTCGAAGGGTGCAAGAACGTGCAGAAACCATGTTAAGACAGTCGGGTGAGGATACGGTCCTAGGTCACGCACTAAAATAGGCTATGGATGTCTTGTATTTTGAGATGGAGACTCGGCCAGATGATTTTTCCAAGATGGTCCTGGAAAAACAAGCAATCCAGCCTGAGCAGCCTATGGAAGAAATGCAAGAGGGGGATGAGGAGCCAGAGAAAGATAATGAGCAGGAAGAGCAGAAGGACGAAGAGGAGGACGAAGAAGAGGAGGACGAAGAAGAGGAGGACGAAGAGGACTTGGATGGTCCTCACAATGGTGACGATCACAATAACGACGATGACGATGATGACGATGATGGCCAGCCTGAGGTGGCCAAAGAGCAGCGGAGGAAGGTCATACAAGACAAACCATCAGGTAAATAATAGTACATCCATTCCTAACCTTTTACCATTTCTAACATTGTCCATGTAGGTCGCAGAAGAAATGGTAAGTAGAGATTATTCAGTTGAATTAAGATACAAACTCTAGCCTTTAGTGTCGAGGAAGGATAGTGCCAAGCAAGGGTCGAAACGTATGTCCAATCCTTCAGAATCAGCAGTGCGCCCAAGTGATATCGGTCCTAGTTCCTCAATAGCAGTTGATGGTAAATACAGTATAGTCGATTCAATGTGCTAATGAGTTTGTTTTTAGTAGCACGGGAGGATACCATCTCAATCGAAGGGAGATATTTGGACATGCATATGGATCCGCCAGTGGACTCTACTTGCCTGCAAGAGTCATCAGAGCTGGTGGAGGCTACTATCCATATCAACGCCAAGCAAGCTGACCACGCTCCACTTGATGCTGCCCATACCACTGAGTCAATCTTGTCCACGTATCCAACTGACGGTGACCAGGCGCCATTGGACCCGCATGAGGCCGCCCCAGCCGCCGAGCCGGTCGTATCCTCATTTCCAACGTGTGCCCAATCGTCTGACTACGCGCCGTTGGAACCTCCCTACACCGCCCCTGCTGCCTGTTCGGTCATGTCCACTTTGCCAACGGAGGCACCAGCTGAAATGGCGTGTGATCACACGCCATCGGAACCACCCCATGCCACTGTTGAGCCAGTTGTACCAGAGTCTACAGCTGAAATGGCATGTGCCCACACGCCATCGGATGCGATTGACCCCACATTGCAGAGGAGAGTATTTCCGCCCTTCACGTTTCCTCGACCAAAACCCTCTGAACGACCATCGGGAGCACCATTCGCTAATATTGTAGATGGTAAAATTGACTTGTACCATGTTTTATGCTGACGCATTTCATTTCAGAGTCACGGCGAAAGTACTGTATCGTTTTTGATCTGAACGGTGTCCTTTTCTCCCATGAGCGTGGCTCGTCCTCGAATGTCACTGCACCCTCCAAAGCCTGCGGTCGCAAGTTGGTCAAAAGAGACAGATTCACATTAATCACACGGGAGAAACTGCGGGATCTAATAATGACCATGCGACACTTAAAACAGAGGGCCGGGTTCAATTTGCAATTGGGAGTTTGGACATCCATGATGCGCCACAATGCATTAACGTTGCTACAGATGATGCACGATCAGACGCGAGTAATATTACCATTTGACTTCTCCTAACGCAGGAGGATTGCTTGACTATGGTCCATGTGAGGGGTAGCAAGCCCATCTTCGTCAAGGCAGAGGCTGTAGTGATGAACCGGACTGCTAGGTCAAGTGAAATCCTCATCATCGATGACTCGCCGATTAAAACTGCAGCGAACACGCACACATATGCAGTGCACCCCATCTCTTGCAGTATGGAAACTAGGGAGAAGAAACCGTATGTTCTGGGGGACCTTGCAAAACGGCTTGAAGCGATGGTGATAGAGAACCGGCCAGTCCAGGAGGTGGCTGCAGAAATCAACCAAATGGCAGATGGAACGGTATATCAGAAGCCATTTGATCGGACAGACACCAGTCATCATTTATGGCATGTATATTGTCTAGCCAAGCACTATCCGCATCTCCATAATCTGCTCAACCGGATGGGTTCTTCGACCACTGAACATGAGCGTGGACGTATTAGAGAAGAGATGGCATTACTATTGGGTTTAAATCCTGATAGTGTGGAGAGTGATGAAATTCCAAGATTATTGTATAGGCGTTGGAGGCAAAAAATAACAGTCTGAGATGGCATGTATTTATTTAAAAATGTAACTTATTATGGCATGGGGTTCCATGCCATTGTATTAATATTAAAAGACAATTCTTTGAGAGGATTTGCATTATACTAGAAGTGTTACAGCATGTTATTGGAAGTCTACGAAGTTGTTTTATTAATAAGGGGAAAGTAAAGATTGAATGGGGACTTGGGCTCCACCTAGACTCGGAGCAACTGAGCCAATATTAAAAGGATGGAAAGAAATTGGACGACAATGACAAGGAGAAGAGAGAGGTGAAGCAGTGAGAAGTGATTGAGTAGACATTTCCTTGTTTAAAATAAAATGGCATGTGCCTCAATGCAGTTGAATTTTGTTATATTTATATACTATATAAAGGTTTGGAAACCTTATTTTACAAGTGGGATAATGACAATTCCCACTTTAACGAAATAGAGCTTTGTTCCTGGATCATCTGAAGTGTGTTGAGCATGGTAAGATCGCTGACATTCAGGACATCACAAACCCGTTGCTATATGTGATTGGTATGTGGTGTTTACTCTCAATGAAGGTGACCTTGTGCTCTTTTGCACACATGGTTCGGTTTGTCTCAATGTTACACTGGAAGAATTGAAGTCTTGTGGGTTTAGCAAGGGTGGTGTGGGTGATGCCACACCTAGCCTTGCTTGCCTACACTGTTGCAGTGTTCTCAAGGTTTGGACTTGTTCCTGCCTTGATTTCATTGTAGCTCGGTTATTACCTTTGGACTGATGCTCAAGTAGGGGCTCATGCATCAGGTAGCCAAGGTCCAGTCCAAGTCCGGCCAGGGCGGGTGAAGACTGCGTGCGTGTGTTCTCACCATGCGTAGGCTTCACTCAGCTGCTGAGGGCTTTTGCTTGCCTTGGCACTTGAAGCATGACCCTTGCAGCTGTGGCATCCTAGTTGATGTTGGCTGTGCATTGCCTTTGCTCCATCTCTGGGTGCTCCTGGTTGATCCTGCCAGCAGTCATATGCTTGTCTCAAAGATTAAGCCATGCATGTGTAAGTATAAACTGCTTTGTACTGTGAAACTGCGAATGGCTCATTAAATCAGTAATAGTTTATTTGATGGTACTTTACTACTCGGATAACCGTAGTAATTCTAGAGCTAATACGTGCAAAGAGTCCCGACCTCTGGAAGGGATGCACTTACTAGATTCAAGGCCGATGCGGGGCCGATGCGGGCTCGCCCGTATTCTTGGTGATTCATGGTAACTTGTCGAATCGCGTGGCCCTCGTGCCGGCGATGCTTCAATCAAATTTCTGCCCTATCAACTTTCGATGGTAGGCCTACCATGGTGGTGACGGGTAACGGGGAATTAGGGTTCGATTCCGGAGAGGGAGCCTGAGACACGGCTACCACATCCAAGGAAGGCAGCAGGCGCGCAAATTACCACATCCCGATACGGGGAGGTAGTGACAATAAATAACAATACCGGGCTTTCAAAGTCTGGTAATTGGAATGAGTACAATCTAAATCTCTTAACGAGGATCCATTGGAGACCACCCGGGAAGTCCAAACCAAGGGGTTTACAACTTGTGCATGTGTGCCTCCTCCTTCCACTTGTGCCACCATCCCCCAGCCATCGGCTGGGGGATGTGGCACACTTCGAGGCCGTGATTGTTATCAACTAGTTGTTTTTGATCTTGTGGTCCTGTCAGGCCAAAAAAACAAAATGT